GGTAAGTAGGCTTGGGAGGACAGGTTGGCAGGGTACAATGATACAGGGAGTAGCTACATACCCAATGTATGATTGGAGGGGCATTTGGGAAGACTTTTGGAAGATCAGATTAAAGCCAAGGGTTCGTGAAGTGGTTTATAGATTCTTTATGGGAATTCTAGCTACAAGGTCAGTGCTATATAGAATGGGTTATGTAGGTGCTGGCACTTGTTTGCATTGTGAGGAAGAGGAGACGGCTTTTCATGCCATATATTTTTGTGAAAACTTGGGTTTTGTAAGGGCATGGTTAGCGAGAGTTCTGGGTATAGTGGCGGGAGGGGGGAGAAACATTTCGACTTTGAGGGCTTTGCATTTTGATGTGGGAGGGGTTTCCAAGGACATTCGGAGGGCAGTGATGTATGTAGTGGCAGATTTTTTGTATGTGTCTTGGTGCATGCGGGAGGTGGGGGGGTGAATATAGGGTGCGGGCGCTTGCGGCGAGCGTGTATCGTACAGTATGCAGAAATAGGCTACTATATGGGAGGTTGTCGGTAAATAGTTTTCCCTTGGGTTATCGTAATCTGTCGGTAGGTGTAATGTTAGGGTTGGGTGTAATGTAAGGTGTTGTGACGTCTAGTGCAAGTGGCATTTATCTTGCACTGGGGAAAAGGGGAAGTGTAAAGTAAATATGATTGGATCATAACGAAATGTCATTGGATATATGTACACTGTATTTAGAAGACGGGAAGGATTGTGAGGATTGTCAATATATGTATTAATTCTTATGTAAATTTCATTGAACTCAGGGTGATAATAATGTACACCTATTAGTCGGATGATAAGTATTGATATTATTATGCTTATTGTAATATAATTTGATTGATAAAATGTATAATCTGGTTTTTAGCTTTGGAGTAAAGAGATAAAAAGCATAGGTGATGGGGGATATTTTGTAACCACAAAGATGAATCAGCAGTATGTATTTAGAAAATGTAACAATTTTATTTTTCTGTGGCGGAGACGATAAGGGGTTCTCATATTCCTTTATGTTATTGTACTTTAATGTATTTTTAAATTCAATGACTGATGGAGGTTATGAGTGGTGACGGCAGACACAGTTACTAGGCATGTGGGGGGGGGGGGGTGAAGAGTCAGCGGTAGTGTATTAAATCCACCACCGTGCACGATATTGATTGTTATCATGGGGTATATGAGGGTTAGGGTGTGGATTGGTTTCTTTGGTGGATGTGTGCCATCATGTTCTAGACTTTTCTGTATTATAGTCAGCCTTTTAGATGGCTGGATTGTGTTTATACATGTTGTCAATGATGTCTTAATGCTCTAATAAATGTATAAGAGATGTCAATGAGTATACTCAGGTGAAAGTGGTATGTTTTTCAAGGGGGGGGGGTGTAAGCATTACTAGGTAGGACTATCGTTTTTATTATAAGACCATTTTTTCACGTGAAGCACAGTACATAAAAGTAGTGTTTGATTGGAGTGCAGCAGCCAATTCTGATGTCATTATATAAGTGCTTCTTTGGTATTTGTGTAGTCACTGCAGATTATCGTTTTACTGCCTGTATCTTGTTACATATTGATTATGTACCCATATATTTTTTGTACCTGAGTTTTAAATAAAATATAAAAAAAAAAATTAGCAAGAACTCATTTAAAATTAAGTCCTTTCTAAAATTTTCTCTTATACGTTTAAAGATATATTTTTTTCATTAATGTTAATGAAAAAAATATAATTTTGCACCAAAAGAATCTTAGAAAACTCACCTAACGTTATTATAACAAGAACAATTTATTTTAGCCTAACCCAACTACGCATATATATTTCAGATTTGTTTACAATAATTTAATACTAAACAAACACAGATAAATATATTTTTTTCGTTAGGTTCAGAATTATTTTGGCGAAATTATTGCATACACAAATTTTCACTTGTCCTATATGTCGTGCCGAATAGGCAGAACTTGCGATCTTGGCTTAAATAGCAACGCTCATCTTGCCATATAGGACAAGTGAAAATTTGTGTGTGCAATAATTTAGCCAAAATCATTCTGAACCTAACGAAAAAAATATATTTCACTGTGTTTGTTTAGTATTAAATTATTGTAAATAAATCTAAAATATATTTTGTTGGGTTAGGCTAAAATAAATTGCGCTTGTTATAATAAGGTTAGGTAAGTTTTCTAAGTTCCTTTTGGTGCAAAATTATAAATTTTTACATCAACATTAATGAAAAAAAAATATATCTTTAAACGTATAAGAGAAAATTTTAGAAAGGACTTAATTTTAAATGAGTTCTTGCTAATTGACCAGTTTTACATATTCGGCACGACATATATATATATATATATATATATATATATATATATATATATATATATATATATATATATATATATATATATATAATATAGGGAGGTACCACCTCTAGAACTGTCATGGGGACCCTCATCCTCAGAGAAAAGAATAAACTTGCTTCAGGGAAAACTCAAGATTCTCCCTGAAGCTGTTTGAGAATTTTCTCCTACCACCCCCTATATTATGTATGTATATTTTATTTAAAGACAAAATACATTGACGAAACATTCACAAAAAATATATATATATATATATATATATATATATATATATATATATATATATATATATATATATATATATATATATTTATTTATATATATGTAGTGAAACACATAGGTGAACAGTATTTAGATAAGGGTAAAGAGTCTTTGTGGCATATGATAGGGTGCATAGGGGGGCAATGTGGCAGATATTGCAAGTGTATGGAATAATAGGCTGGTTATTGAAATCGGTGAAAAGTTTTTACGAGGATAGTGAGGCTCAGGTTAGAGTATGTAAGCGAGAGGGGGATTATTTTCCACGGATGTGTGATGTCACCGTGGTTGTTCAATATTTTTATAGATGGGGTAGTAAGAAAAGTGAATGCTTGGATGTTGGCAAGAGGTGTGGGATTAAAAGATAAAGAATCTAACTCAAAGTGGAAGTTGTTCTTTTCTGATGACACTGTGCTTTTGGAGATTCTGAAGAGAAGTTGCAGAGGTTGGTGGATGAGTTTGGTAGTGTATGTAAAACAAGGATGTTAAAAGTGAATATAGGAAAGAGTAAAGTGACGAGGATGAAAAATAAAGTAATGGAAGATTGGATATTAGATTGGAGGGAGAGAGTGTGACGGAGGTGAGTGTGTTCATCTAGATATTTGGGAGTGGACGTGTCAGCAGATGGGTCTATGAAGGATGAGGTGAATCATAAAATTGACGAAGGAAAAAGGTGAGTGGTGCACTGAGGAGTCTGTGGAAACAAAGAACTTTATCCAAGAAAGCAAAGAGGAGAGTGTATGAGAGTATAGTTATACCAACACTCTTGTATGGGTGTGAAGCATGGGTGATGAATGTTGCAGCGAGGAGAAGGCTGGAGGCAGTGGAGATGTCATGTCTGAGGGTAATGTGTGGTGTGAATATAATGTAGAGAATTCGTGATTTGGAGATTAGGAGGTGTGGGGTTACCAAAACTATTATCCAGAGGGCTGAGGAGGGGTTATTGAGAGGGTTTGCACATGTAGAGACGATTGAACAAAACTGAATGACTTTGAGAGTATACAAATCTGCAGTGGAGAGAAGGCAGGGTAGGGGTCGGCCTAGGAAAGGTTGGAAAGAGGGGGTAAAATAGGTTTAGTGTGCGAGGGGCTTGGACTTCCAGCAAGCGTGCATGAGCGTGTTACACAGGAGCGAATGGAGACAAATGGCTTTTAGAACTTGACATGTTGCTGGAGTGAAAGCAAGGTAACATTTATGAAGGGATTCAGGGAAACCGGCAGGCCGGACTTGAGTTCTGGATGGGAATTACAGTGCCTGCACTCTGAAGGAGGGGTGTTAATATTGCAGTTTTATAACTGTAGTGTAGGCATGCCTCTGGCAAGACAGTGATGGAATGAATGCCTTGGTGGAAAACGGCCGATGTGTAATAATAAAAAAAATATACATCAGTAACAACACTGCGACTAGCCAAGGATTAAAACCTATGCTGCTTTGTCCCGCCTCATGGTGAGCGAAAACACGTGATGCTGTAACCCACAGGACGACACAGCCCTACAAGAATGGCACACCCAGCCAAGCTAGGTGTTTTACCGACATCTGACTACATACGGTGGTGTGGGTGTCTCTGAGCTAATTTCATTCTAGTTCCTCTTTCGTGTACTAGCTCATCGGGCAGTGGGTTAGAGCGTCGTGTGTTTTCGCTCACCACGAGGCGAGCCAAAGTAGCATGGGTTCGAATCCTTGGCTAGTCGCAGTGTTGTTATTGATCAATACCACTCGTTCGTGGCTACAATAATATAAAAACACTGGCAGTTGGGCTAGTACACCAAACAAGGACTAGAATGAAAATAGCTCAGAGGCACCCACACCACGAAATGTCCTTGGATGTCGGCAAAACAGCTAGCTTGGCTGGATGCGTCATCCTTGTAGGATTGCGTGGTCCTGTGGGTTAGAGCGTCATGTGTTTTCGCTCACCATGAGCCGGGCCAAAGAATATATATATATATATATATATATATATATATATATATATATATATATATATATATATATATATATATATATATAAACATCTTGATGAATGTACATACTGGTTTTCGTAGAATGAATTTTTTTAAGCAATTGTGACTTTCTAAGTGAAGATCACAGTTGATACCACAAGCATCGCCTGAATACATATATGTAGATACACAATAATGCTACAACATAACTAAGGACACCATTATATGTGTCATGGTCATGTGTTATGAAAAGTGAGTAAAAAAATTCAGGGGAATATTTGTTTATTTTACTTAATGAACATAATAAATCATAATTTACAAGGCAACAAACAGTTAGAGAGGAAAGCTTCCGCAGCCCAAGTTTTCTGCAGTAATTGTACAATGTGCTAAGTAATTATAACTTGTAACGGCTTGACAAAGCTCCTGGAGAGAGAAACGTTGCCACAGTAAAATGTCACATTAGTTGCACTTGTCTTGTTTTACCTAACAAGGTCTCTGCAGCAGGCTACCCAGCTCCTGGTCCCTCAGGACACACTTGGGAAACACCTCGCTACATGTGCTCTGACCACCGACCTTCGTAGCATTAATTAAGGCGGCCTTGTAGGAGGATAACATTTCCGGGCTGTTAGATAAAAACTGGAGGATGATATTTTCCTGTAGAGTGCGATCACCTGGGCGCTTGTTATGTAGGTGACACAAGAGTTTTAACAAGCAGCCGTCAGTGTCCAGGTGAATGACTGCAGACACTAGCATCTTCTGCGCCGCCTCCACCTCCTGCAAACCTTTTCTGGTAGATCGTTTGTGTCTTGTTTGTGTGTGAGGGTCGTAAGCAGAGTAGGACAACATGTGGTAGTGTCCTTGTGTTGAGGATTGAGATAAACGATGAGATGGAGCTGGTGCCACATGGTATCCAGTGTTATCATCGATGTAGTCTCCATTGTAAACAAAAGCAGACTTTTTATTATGTTCCCCCTCTTGCCCCTCCTCTTCCTCCTGTATACGAATCTCTTCATCCTCCCTCAGCTCCTCTAATAACTCCTCCCTTTCTTCCTTATCTTTCTCATAGGCTTCACGTTGCAGGTTGCTGTAGTTGGTGATAAACCCAGTTAGCACACCAGCCTATTATGAAAATAAATAAATATAAGTAATAATGAGACGCGTGTCGGTGGCTGCACTATCCAAGAAAGATATCCAGTAGTTTGGTTAGTAGCGCACACAGCTCACACACTGAGGTCATTGGTTGTATCCCCGGTAAGGGTGGAAAGATTGAGACACTTATGCACATGCTGCTTAAGTGTCTCAATCATCAGCTTGTCGGTTTAAACCTCACACCTCCATCGTTATATTTAAAACCATCATAAAACAAAGAAATTTTATTTTTTCAACTTTTGTCTTCTTTTTGTTCTACTTTTAATTCTCTACAATCCTTTGAGATAATTTTTTAAGATTTAACTGACAAATTTTCACCCATACAACCCAAAATTTAAAAAAAGTAATACTTGCTGTTATGATACGATCGTTTAGGGTTTGAAGCTGATCAGAAGAGACATTCTCTAGTTATTACACAGGAAACGATTTGCTTTATAAAATTACAAAATTGAAATTTACACAGCTGAAAGTGAGTGAGAAATTGTGTCACTAAAACCCACCAGTGGTAAAAGTTTGAACCCAATTGTGGAAAATACTGTATATATTTTCCAGAAATACAGTAGTTATATGTAAATAGATGGCCATACTGTATTTAATAATATTTATGTCATAGAAAACGGAAAGCTTGCGTCTGCGCAGAAGGACAGTCGCCATTTTGGTTTGAATGAGCCAAGTAAACGTTAGTGTAATGGGAAGAAATTTTTGTGCTCTAGAGGTTAAAATTGGGTTGACACCTCTCAAATAGGAGGCGAAATTGTTGGATGTGTAGTCCTGCATAACTTGAGATATCAGGCGACTGGACAAGACAGCTCCAGGAACCTCAGATAAGTCTGTTATGTTATAACTCTGGCCAGTGTTATTTTCATAGATAGACAGTGAGGTTTTCTGAGTATGATACACATTAATCTCCAGTCAAATTGGTGAGTGATATTAAGATATTTTCCTTCTGTTATATAAATGTGTGAATATATAATCCTTCTTTTTAATTTTAATATACAGTTCACAAATTTATATATTTACCAGTATTCTTGGTTATACATATTTCATTGGTAATTAATAGGTCCAGAGCAACTTGTGGATATGACAGTGGTAGGTATCAGAAGGGGACATTTTTTGCGACCTAGGTGTCCCAAATTCCTACTTGTCTAACTGATAAATAATAATTATCTATGTTCATTTATTGTTATGTACATAATGATACATTCAGATAAATGTAATTTTCCACACCAATAATAAAAATTATTCTTCAATACTTTCTCTGATTCCAATGATTCCAGGTTCTTAAACTATTACAATAAAGTTTAAAATTTGCAGCTGCTCTGACTAAACTTCGGGGTTATTCTTGTTTTTAACTGCATCGACAATAATATTTTGGAGATGATCTGAATTAGCATTCTTTAGTTTTTTAATAAAAAATTAATATCACTATATATTTAATCAAAACTGGGAAACTGGGACTTACGCCAGCCAATAGCAACATGAGGATTGTGTTCAGAAAAGTCAACGATTCCGAGTATTTCTTGCTATTTTACTTCAACAAAGTTAACTGCCTTCACGAGAACGAAACCTAACAGGTACTGACACACGAAGTCGTAATAACACAACTGTAAACAAACCAGGGAACGGGTAGGTTTTGAATCCATAGCGAAAGAGTCCTGAAACTCCAGGCCAGTGCACAAGCCAATCGGTACCGTCTTATCCCGACCTTATGATGCATCAGCCATTAAATACTGAAGACATTCACAATAGGTAAACTGAAAAATGGTTTAACATGATTTAATGGTAATATTTATTTTTTTTTTACATTATTCGGCCCATCAGTCAAGTCTGCGCGTACACTGCTGAGTTTCACTCTTCACTGTCGTTGCACTACGATGCACTTTTTGGACGTTTGAAGCGATGCCGGTGAACGTTCCAAGTGTTCCAAGAATTTGGTCCTCGTTACAGTACACAAGCGTTGAAAATTTGAAGCCGATTGGATGAGACGTTCTCGACTTATGAGCAAAATCGAAAAGTTGGATGAAGATAAAAAAAAAAAAGAAATCAAGCAACCTCTTACAATTCCACCTTCGGGGATGCCAATTAATAAATTTTTCTTAATTAAAATGGCACCATCTTGAAATCCTAGGCCATTGATAGGTCTAGGGCCCTCTCACTTTAAAACTGGTGCAACGCTCTGGATCCAAGGAATTAGAACCATCATCCCCATCCTAAAATGAGACCTGGTTACCTCTCATTCCCTGAAATCAGTGTGAGTCCTTGAGCTTAGTGCTTCCCAGTTAATGTAATAATAATATCAGTAGAAATAATAATAATAATAATAATAATAATAATAATAATAATAATAATAATAATAATTAGGTATCCTAGAAGGAGGAACTTATGTGGTTGAAGGATTTTTTTCTGTTTTTGCTTTTTTTCTTCCTCCAACTTTCGTTTTAGTTTCGTTCGTAACACAAGAACGCTTCATCCAATCAGCTTCTAATTTTTGAACGCTTGTTTACGGTAACGAGGACTAGATTCTTGGAACAGTTGGCTTGTTTATCTTCCCTCTGACCAAAGTTCTGAAGCCATTCCCAGCATCCTAGAACAGCTGGGATGATGTCCAAAATCCTCAGTAACGTTGCTTGACACATTGATAAAGATGCTTCTAATTCGACGATGTTGGAAAATGAAATTTATGTGTGTAGGAGAAGCAGATTTCACCATTTTAAGTGTAAAATATAAAAGTGTCGCATTTTTATTCCCTTTAAATCAGGTTAAAAAAATTTCTGCTTGCCTCTTGTGGACGTCTTCAGTATTTAGTGGCAGCTGCAGCTTATGTCCAGGATAGTCAACTATGAAGTTTGGTTTTCATTCCGACAGATTTGTTGATGTAGTACAATAATTAAAAAAAAAAAACTTGGAGTCGAAAAATCTGTGCCGTAACTCGAGAATCACTCATCTGATCAGCTTCAAATTTTCTTCACTGGTTTGGTTTCCTGAATTTAAGATTTATGTTGTTACTGAGTTGCGTAAGTCTCGTTTTGCCGCTTTTACTTAATATTGATATTTATTTATATTCAGTAACTGAAGAATTCTTTTCTGATTATCTTAAAAATATTAATGATGATGGATTCTCAAACTATAATTTGAGTTTGTGTAAATATGAAACTTTACTAAAAAAACTTAGGATTGATCGGATTCAAATTTTCTCTGTTTGTAGGCTGCATTAAAAGAAAACTTGGCGTTCACTTCAAGCAATATAAATTTAAAATTTCCAATTTTATTAAATGAATTGTTTCTCGTGTTATGACTAAAAACTGGTGTATCTAAAATGGAAATATTTTTGCAATAATTTCTGGCTGTCTGCACATCACTGCACCATTTTACCAATTTTATTAATATTGTGGAAAATAATTTCCCAAAATTATGCTGTGTAAATAAACCTGATTAAAAGTGTATTTTAGAGAATGGAACTGACAGGGAGGCTCTGCACCTGCGCTGACGAGCAGGGAGAGTCGCCATTGTTTTTTTGAATGTAATACAAGCACGTTAATGTAAGGTGTATAATTTTCGTCGCTCTAGGGGTTATATTGGGCTTAAAACCTATCAAATAGGAGCCGAAATTGTTGGATGTGCATTCCTGCATAACTTGAGCATTAAGCAGATGTACAGGACAGCTCCTGGAACCTCAGATAAGCTATCTAAATTATGTTTGTAATTCTGGCCAGTATTATCATCATAGATTTAGTTAGAGGGGGGTTCTGTACATGACACACAGTAATCTCCAGACTAATTGGTGAGTGTTATGAGTATAAATTCTCCTTCTGTTATATAAATGTGTATATGTAATCATTTATTAATTTTAATATACAGTCCACAAATTTATATTAAATTTTACCAGAATTCCTGGTGATGAACATTTCATTTGCAATTAATATAGGTCTAGAGCAATTTGTGGAGAGATAGATTATGATAGGTATCGAAGGGCGACATTTTTTGCGACCTAGGAGTCCTAAAAATTCCTGCTTGTCTCTGTAACTTTGATAAATAATAATTATCTTTGTTACCATTTACTTGTATGTATCTAATGAGATTCATCCAGGTAAATGTAATTTTCCACAAATATGAATTTTCTTAAAATTAAAGAAAATCAAATATTTAGTCTCGTGGGACTGTCGAAAATTTGTAAAGAAAAAAAAATCTCATTTATAAGAGCGTTTTCAAATTTAATGGATACAGACTTTCCTGTTTTTAAGATATTGGTCTTTGAGATAACTTGAGAGGGACTCTTCAATTTAGCTTGAGGGTTTGAATTAGGTACTACTTATGTGTGCTCCAATTTGCCATTTTTATTGCAGCAGTTGCAATATTGACTTTTATATGATAACTTGTGAATGCCTCTTGTGATTTGCTTCAGATCTTCAGCACTAATATTTAACTGCATTACAAACTTATGCTGCACTCTACGCTATTCCAGTCATATTTATTGAGGTGCAGGGGACTAGAGTGGTCAGGCAACACGGGGATACCTTCCTTGGATCACACAACGACCGAAATACATCCAGTTATCAAAAAGGTCACTATTTACTTCTGCATCTCGACAGTTTATATTATATAATATTGGGTGCTGGTGGGCTGGTGGTTAAAGCGCTCGCTTCACACGGCGAGGAACTGGGTACGATTCCCAGCCAGGATAGAAACATTGGGCGTGTTTCTTTACACCTGTTGTCTATGTTCACCCGTCAGTGAAGTGAGTACCTGGGTGTTAGTCGACTGGTGTGGGTCGCATCCTGGGACACTGACCTAATTTGCCCAAAATGCTCAGCATAACAAGTGGCTTTCTGTATAGTAGTATGTCACTGATGCCAGCTATGGTCTGTATACCTTGTACATGTACATGTAGTAAATATAGACTTATATTAAAAGTGGGTTTTTCAGTGGACATTTTTTTTTTAAATTATTATAGATAGATTTTTTTCTCGTTAGGTTAGGTTAGGTTTGGGTACGTTATGTTGGATTCGATTAGGTTGGCTTCTAACCCAGCTTATCGTAACCCAACCCTATCTTAACAGGCAATCCAACCAAGAAAGCCTAAACATACGTCAACCAAATTGGTCAACTGTGGAATTCACATTTTTGATGCAGGAATCGGTTAAAACTCTTGAAAACACTCTTCACTAATTTTCTAAAATGCAAATTTGTGTAATTTACAATTGGTAATCAATAGTCTGGCCTATGTTGTTCATGAACCAATACTATCACTGGAACGTTATGTTTGAATATTAGTCGTTAACTGGGCAGACGCTCAAAAAACAATATACAATCCTCCTCTTGTAAAATATTTAAGTGTCTATTATCTCTTAAAATAACAATTTGCCCACGAAATGAATGTAGTTGCCAGGGTTTGAATACTTTGCTTATATTATTAAAAAGAAGTAGATGTTTAATTTCGACTGAGTAGCTATAATAAATATTGGCCAACAATAATAATAACAAACCATAGGAAATGTTCCTATGGTTCTTACTGGATCACAAATCAGTACCAGCAGTTTACCTCGAAGATGCCAAGACCAGCAGCTGCCAAACTGGCACTTATACTGCCGCCGTACAGCAGCGAAGAAAAATTAAAATTTTTGAGCTCCAGAGGAAATTCAGGAATTTTCACGATACTTGATATCTGGGGCAGGGCGCCGCACACAACAAACAGGGCGGGTACCACGCTCATGTGTTGCCACAACTGCATCTGCAATACAGAAAATTAATATAATCATACATAATCAGTTTCAGACAACACACACACACACACACACACACACACACACACACACACACACACACTCATTACAGACTTACTCACCTTACAAAACATTCACACATACTAAAATATATTTTATATATAAAGGGCATTTAGCACAAAGTTTGTCAAGCCGTTACGGCTTGACAAGGCTCCTGGAGAGTGAAACGTTGCCACAATAAAATATTCATCTCTCAACCTCTGTGTGGTGAGGACGTGCGCTGCTGCTGCCCCTAGTGTTGATTGGTGGCAACTTTATTTTCTACAACATGGCGCTGAACAGCCGGCGACGCATCAGTACTGTTTGTATTGAGCTGACCTGTGGGGCTGTTATGGGATCTTCAATCGATTTGTTGCTACCGGCGATCATCCGCGATACATTTGGCATTGCAAATGAAGAGATTAGTGGTGTGGCTCTAAATGGAACAACGAGGATCTTCGTGAAATTAACATCTGCAAATGTCTATGAGGCAGTGGTAGACAAGTATCAGGAGATCACCATACCGTTCAACTCAGCTGTGTCAGTGCGTCTCCATAATGTATCAAGGTACTACACATGGGTCAAAATAAGAAATGTGCCTTTTGAGGCGAATGACTTTGACATCTGCAGTGAACTAAGTAATTATGGGACGGTTCACATAACCACTGCGGGGCGGTGGGCTACTGGACCGTATGCAGGAATGCTTGAGGGAACATATTCTGTTAAAATGACACTACGACACCCCATACCATCTTATGTGATGTTACAGGATTTTAGAACTCAAGTTTATGTAACATACGTGGGGCAACGACGAACGTGTCACTTGTGTGGGTCATATGACCACATTGTGGCACAGTGTGGAAAGCGACATGGATACCCAGTACAACACCAATGGCAGACAGTGGACGAGGCTGCTGAGAAGCAAGAGCAGTCTTTTGCAACACTGCCTAAACAAGGGTTGTCATGGAGTGAAGAGGTGGATAAAGCAAAGGAGATGGAAGCAGCAGATGTATCACAATGGAGAGAATCTTCATCGTTGGACATACATCAGGTATTCGAAGAGAACATACCGGATTTGGGTGAAGAAGTGGAAGCGTCGTTAGTAAAGGCGTTGGACATCTTGTTAGATGACAAGATCATCGGACATGTGGGGGACCCAGGCTCAGCTATGAGGTCGGTTGAAGACGACGGCGTGGTGGGCGAACGAGGTATACAGCAGAGTGAGACAAATGGCCTGATGGTGCAGGCAGTGGAGGTGGAGGTGCACCAAGATGCTGCAACAAACGTTACAATGCAGGTGAAGGGTAGGACACGAAAACGCACTGCTGCGCTATCAGACTCAGATGACGTGCTCACTCCTGCCCAGCACCCTGGGAAAAAGTCTTGGGCGGAGGTCAAGAAGAGAGGGTCTAGTGACCCCAAGGATCAGGGGTTTGCGAAGGTGGTTTCCAAAGGTGGGAAAGGGGTGTTGCAAAACGTACTGGAGATAAGTCACCACCGGGGACAAAAGGAAAACCCATTTGTAGATTTTAAGTGACAATAAATATTAACGGATTGAGAACTGAGAGAAAGCGTAAGTGGTTTAACAAGTATTTGGTGCGACTTGGTGTGGATGTAGTGTTCATACAGGAACACAATTACAGAGCAGAATACGAGTTGGAAATGAGTGGATATAATGTGTACATGGAGCATGCAACAAGGTTGAAAGGAGGAGCTGCCATTCTGGTGAGGGAAACTAGCCCGTTTGTTGTGAAGTGGGGGAGGGGAGGGTGATTAGAGTGGATGGATTATGGGGTTAGGAACAAATCAGTTTGGTGTGTGTGTATATGGTCCAGCAGAGGGAGATGTTCATACTAAAACTAAATTTGTTCAAGAAGTCCTAGTATATTATTTGCATGCCTTACCAAATGTAGCGATAATTGGAGGAGATTGGAATTGTGTGATACGACGTAAGGATGTGGAACCTAGAGAAACGGGGTGTTGTTTGGGGATTTTGGGGGATTTATTAATGGGGGTGGGGTTAAAGGATGTATGCAGGGGAGGGGTAGTAGAGCATACTTTTGTTAGACATGATTATGCGGTGAGACTGGATCGTATGTATGTGCCACGTGCAGTAAATGTGCGTAGTGTGCTAGTGGTGGATGTGGTTTTTTCAGACCATAGGGGTGTAGTGATGGATGCAGATTGGGAGGGAGTGCCACGTAGGGGTCAAAATTGTTGGAAATTAAATGTAAAGTTACTACAGGGTGAGGAAAGTCGTCTGTCTTTTGGGCAAATGTGGGAACGTTTAGTAGTTGAAGCACCTGAGGATAATGTCATGGTAACTTGGTGGGAATCGGTAGCAAAACAGTGTATTAAAGAATATTATATTAGTAGAGGGAAGATATATAATCAGTTAAAGTATGGTTTACAAAGATACCTTGAGAGGCAGCTGCGCGAATGCTATGCAAGAGGCAGTGCAAATTATCCTGTAATCGAAATTGAGAGTTTAAAGGAAAATATTAGGAGTTTGCAATATGAGAGGTTTGATGGGGAGAGAATTAGGGGCGGACTAGAAGAGGTACTGTGGGGAGATCGGCAGTCGGCTTATGTGTTGAAGAGTCAACATAGGAGGAGAAAGGCAATGGAGATAATGGGGTTAAATGTTCAGGTTGGTATGGAAGGGTATAGGGAAGGTCAAGTTTTGACAGCAACGGAGGGTATAAGTGGATATGTTGATGCTTGGGTTAAGTCAAATATGCAAAGTGTTGGTATAAGACAATGGGAGGGTTTGTGCAGTGCGAGCTGGAGCTGGAGGGGCAAGATCGATTGGCTTTGGGAGGGCCGATTACGGAGTGTGGGATTTGGGAGGCCTTATCTGGGGTGAAGTTAAGTAAGGCACAGGGTATAGATGGGATACCAAGCGATTTTTATGTTAAAAATTGGGGCGTTCTAAAGGGGTTTTTAGTAAGATTGTTCAACATACCTAAGAGGGACCGGGTTTTGGGGGAACAGCAAAGGACGGCAGTGGTGGTTTTAGTACCTAAGGGTGAGCCGTCAACAGTAAGGGATTATCGGGCCATTTCGCTATTGTGTGGAGATTACAAGCTATTCACAAGAATATTAGCTAACAGAATTAAGAAGGTAATTGGAAAAGTAATAGATAAGGGACAATACGGAATGCCGTGCCGGGAAGGTCTAAGTACGAAGGGCATGGTTTGATTAGAGGTTTTATTGAGAAACGGGGCGAATTGGAAGGGGGCTGTTGGCGCTAGATTGGGAGGCAGCCTATGACAGTGTAGAATGGGAAGCATTATGGATGTTTATGCGTTAGCAGGGGTTCGGGGAAGAAATCATATCTTGGGTTAAATTATTGTATCATGGGGCTTCAGTGAGGGTACAGGTGAATGGGAGGTTAGGTGTTAAAATTGAGATGGGTAGAGGTCTGCGCCAAGGTTCTCCCCTTTTGCAAATTTTGTTTGCGTGTTTACAAGATCCCTTTTATAGAGCAAATCGGAGGTTATTTGCAGGAGATGGGCTAGGTAATGAACGGGGGGGGGGCTGGCATCGTAGGTTATGTAGATGACACGACGGTTTTGGTGAGGGGAAGTATGGATTTGCTTAGGATGGGAAAGTTGGTGAATGTTTTTGGGGAAGCTTCTGGGATGAAAATTAATGCAGAGAAGACCAAGTATATGGAACTCGGGGATCGGTTACATAGGGATGGGGAAGTAGTAGACAGGTAGAAAAGGGTGGATCAATTACTGATATGTGGGATAGTTTATGTGCGAGATATAAAATTGGCAAAAGAAGTAAACTCATGTGATTGTGGAAGGGTGTGAAAAGACTTAGCTTTTAAAAGGGCAGCACAACAAACGATACATCAAGGGTAATAGTAACGAATGTGCGTTGTACATAACATGGGTGGCAGTGATGTATCCGATAATACGACTGAATAAAACTTTCCAACAGAGATTTTTAGATTCTTTGGGTACAGGATGTGAAGGTTAAGTAAGCTTTTGGTCACACCCCGTGGGGCCGAGGGGGCTGGGGCTTTACCTTTCGAAAAAAGGATTACGTTTTATATTTAAAAACGTAGTTATTGGGGGAGGGGGGAGGGGGAAGAGGACTTAATAGGATACGTAAGGATACAACGGTGGGGGGGGGGGAGGGAATTTACTAGGCGAGGCAATGTTGAATCCTAAAAACAGTGAGAGAACCCCTCACATTTAAACTGCGAACCTTGAAGGAGTTTGATGGCAAGTCAATAGACGGGGTAGAAGGGGCAACCAATTTTGCTTGGAGGGGATATCTGGAGCGTCTAACAAATTTTCGAGGAAACCCAGGTACAAAGTATTTTGATTTCTACATGGGGGCTGCTGTCTGGAAAAGGGCTTATTCAAAAGTGGGTTTTTTAAGGGGGGGGGGGCTGCATGGGCACATTTTCCACGCGGTGTTTTTTGCATCTGTTGAAGCATAAGGTCGGTTTGGAAAGGGGTTTAGGTTGTGGAAGGAGGGGGGGCACGTTTCGAGGGGTTTAAGTTTAGACATGGTGGGAATAAATGGGAGAGGTGCAGTAGGGAATATTACGGACTTTATATATACATCTTGGGGGTATGAGGGAGGGGAGTGGGGAAAAAAAATTAACAGTTAGCAGCGATTTTTAAAAGAACAAAGTCCCCGGAATAAGGAATTTTTTTTTGGGGAAAGGGATTTTTAGAGGGCATTTAGTGGGGGCTTTTGGATTTTTAAAATTAGGGGATTTAGGGGATTTAAATCCAAGGAAAAGGGGGAAGCAACGGGCGGGTTTTCCCCTTTCCCGAACAGGTTGTAAAAGAATTTGTTTTTAGGGACTGAGAATGGGGTTTTTTAAGGTGGAAAACACGGTCATTTTCTTAGGGAAATTATTTAACAAACACGGGGATTTTAAAAAAGGTAAAATTTTTAATTATGAAAAATATATTTTTTAAACTTTGTATTTTTTTTTAATTTTTGGTGCTTGGGAAATAAAAATTTCCCAATTATATTGATAAATACTTTCTATAGATTTTGGGAAAGCTTGGTTTTTGACCCGATGTGTAAAAGTCATCAGGGGCCCTTTGGGAAAATCATTTTT